CTGGAATGTGGGCATAATGGCTGGAACTTCAGCAGCTATCTTGAACCACAAGGTAGAAGAAACAAGAGCCTGGTCCCTGACATATGGAGCTACCATAGCTACCTTTAAGTGTCTTTCACTTGAGGGAGAAATAAACATTTTTCTTATTTAAGCCACTGTTCATTGTTGCTGTTGTGCTCTTGTTTATGAAACCAAAACTAATTGGTATACTTAATTAATCTCAAATGACACACTGCTCTTGAAGATAATTTTATCAGATTTGGCACCAGCAGAAAGCAGATGACACACTCAGAATAGTTTAAGGAAATCACTATAGAGAGATGTGGGCAGGCTTGAAGGAACCAACCAGGGAGTAGCAGCAACCATTTCAGGCCCAAGTCTGAGGAGGTATGAGGAGGGAGCTAGCTGTTAAGATGATGTGACAGGAGCTGTATCCTTGAGAGAGGGGTTAGCCTAGAAGGGTGTGGCCTTAGCAAAGCAGCCACACTGAAACATGGCCCAGCAGGGGTACAGATACCCAGTTCTCTCTCTCCTTCCCTTCGATTTCCTGCAAGTGTCTCCTGTTGACAGAATACAACCGGAAGCCAGAGGGCTGGGGAAACAGGGTGATGCAGTCTGCAAAGGTCAGCCTTCTGGGACACTGCAGGGAAGAGTGAGGAATGATTCTGAAGGGACACGGACAGTACTAGCACAAGTACAATTTACTCTAAATACAAAATTACCTTTTGGTTCTTAAGTGACTGAAGAGACTAATGTAATCTTAACACGGGGTTGGGCTGCTACTTATGTTCTATGGTAAGTATGTAAAAAATTTTTTTAATTAAAAATTTCAAACACAAAGAAAAATATATTTATCAGAGATTATAATTTTGGATGATTTTCACCTCTTGTAACTAGACTAGCTGATTCAAATACATAGCGTTTTGAGAAAATGTATTTTTTCAAATTACGAATAAATCGGTCATCACATGACTTACCTCTCCAGGTCAATTAGACTTATTATAGCAGAAAAAGAAAAGAGAAAAGCTACAAGATAGCTAAATAAATAATCTAGTCATAGAATTTGTTTTTAAAAGCTACCCAATCTTTATGTAGTAATTCAATCCACTATGTTGCTATTTAAAAAAAATCGATTTCTCAATTATTTACGTTTTAAAATTCCATTTTGAGTTTTTAACAGTTGTCATAGAACATGTACAGGTAACAGGCTGCAGCTATGGCTTTTACTCAAGACATGGGACACCAGTAGTTCATTTTTAAAAGATTATAAAGGGGGCCTGCACCTACTAGGTTTTTTTACACTGAGATATGAGCCTGAGTAACATGTTCTAAAATGCGAGGGCAAAAGGGTCAGTTCAGTTCACCATTCTCTGAGAATTGCAGTGGGATCATTTTGCCATTCCTTCTCCAGACCTAAAAATAAAACGGTTACATTGTTGAGTTTAAAGTGTTGTCTTACTATATTGGTAGCCTTTATTTCTTGAAAACTGACCTGTGGCTTTGGAAGGAGGGCAATTCTAGGAGCCAGCAAATGACGACATTCACATAATTTGAAATATTTATGTGATAATAAGACAGATCAGAAAAAAAAGTCTGGGACATTACAGGACTCAAGATCGCTGCTTAAGCTCTAGTCCCACTGTCATTAGTCCCTCATGCAATAGAGAAGCACCACAGGCTCAACTTCCCCACGACATCCAGAGGCCTCTGTCGGCTCAGAGACATTTGGAGATAGAAAACAGAGAAACCAAACTAACTTGGTTATAACATATTTATTTATTTTGCACTGGCTCCAGATAGCTTGAACAATTTAAATAATCAGACTGCTAAACAGATTTCCCATTTGAGATGGACAAATTAATTCTTCATTAAAAAAATATTTGTTGAGACCTCTTCTATGTCAGACATTAGATTCCGGGGAAACAATGATAGCAAAAATAACTTGTAAACATATCATGACAATATTGTCTTTGATTCTGGAAAAACCCAGTAGATAGAGCTGAATATATTGACCAATGTCCCTCTGTAACCAAACTCAGATTCAGCTGCTTATCACTTAAAAGCCAGACTTGAGAGACAAGGGTTGGTGTAAGGAAAACAGGTTTATTCAAGAGCTGGCAACCTGGGGAGATGGCAGACTAATGTCTCAAAGACCATCTCAAGTCAGTATAAATTTCAAGCTCTTTTTCTATTAAAGGCGGAGGGAAGAGGAGGGGATTGAGATCAAGAAGTGAATGAGGACCGCAAACATCTGGGAGCCAGCAAGTGCTTGAAGAGGTTGGGAAGCTTCTTTGCCCTTGGTCGGGTCACGTTTCTTTAAATCTTTAACAAAACATAGTGTACAGACTCCCTCTCTTTCCCAGTTAGTCTAGACAGTTGCACACTTGTTGTTCCTGTGTTCTCTCTTCAGTGTTTCACAATTATTCTAGCCTACACACAAGTACCAGTAAAGGCCTCCTAAACAAAAATGGAGCCATATTAGTTCTTTTGCTGTTTCACTGGTACACATCCCTATGACACAAGGTTAAGATGAATACAGAATTTATAAATTTTTACATTTTTTTTCATTGTGCTCTAAAGACTCGTATATTTTCTTATCAAGAGGGCTTATTTTCTTGTTATTCTCTAAATGAGCTCCAAAGAGAAAGGCTTATAGATGCCATTTACAAATCACCTAAATAACCAGGCATTGAGTCAACTGAGTCACGGCTAAGAGCTGATTTAAATCTCTTGTAACACAGGGAATTTTGGGGTAGGAAAAGGAGGATAGGAAGGAGTAACAGGGCCACAAGCATTCCAGATCAACTCATCCATAGTTTAGTGGCCAAAAATGTCCTATGTCTTGTTTTAATTCTAGTTTTTGTTACTATCTTACTTGCTCACTTAAAGATTTTCACTTGATGCCCAAATCAAAGGAAACTTTGAGGAGGGACCTAACCACAGGCTAGTGAATTGTGTCTTTTCCCAAAACAATGGTTTCAATAGCAGCATGGAGTAGAAAAACAGGGACACAGTGGTCCACAAGGATGTGTAATCCCTGTGCTGGCAGATGCAGCTCTTTTTTTAGAGGCAATGAAAGTCTCTTTTCAGCTACCATTGCAGAACCTGTCCTCTTGGCTGACAAGTGGCAGTAATGTAAGATTGTTGACACCTGTGGCCAAATGAAGACTTAAGTTATTCAGCTGATTCTACACCAAAAGAAAGTAATAGTCAGAGGGTTACCAGGACTGCAACATTTTGCCTTGACTTTTCCTAAGATTGAGTGAACAGGGCCACTTTGGGTCTTTCACGAGAGGGACTCTGTCCTGAGGTTAAAACTACAGCAGTGTCCATCTTCTAAAGTTGCTATTAAGAAGATGTAAGTGGGTGACTGTGCGATCCAGCTGTCTTATCCTTCGAATCTAAGTTCAGTTGTGAAATTTTCCATGAAGGCTTCCTTAATTTTTTTAACTCACAGTTTCTCTCTCGTTTGCAACTAAGTTCTCTCCTCTGCCACAAAATACTATTATCTCTTACATCATTTATATGTCTGGGCTTTATAACTAAGATTAGTATCTCTTGAGGGCAGGATCCCCGCTAGACTCACCTGAGTATTCACATCTTACTGTGCCCAGCATGAAGGAGGTACTCAAAATAATGTTAATGAATAAGTAGTAAATCTGACTATGAAGAAGATCTGAGATCCTTCAAGTAAGTAGACTAATTTCAATGCAAGTAGGGTTTCTTACTGTCTTGGCAAAGAAGGAGATCACAAAAGGCTGAGGAAAAAGCTGGGATGGGGAATACTGATCATGGCAGTTCAAGAACACACTTAAGAAATAAGAAGGGGACCCCCAAAAAAACCAGAATTATTTTTTGAAGTGTAGCTTTACAAATCATTACCCATGCAACTATCTGTTCCACATTTCATTAAGATGTCTACCATGCCAAATGTTCCCCTGGCATAAACAATCTAATTTTCTATGAAGGGCTTTCTTTTATTTTTCTGAAAAATCAAAGTAGGCAAGTCTAGTATTAGTATCCTCATTTTACATGCTAGAGTGCTGAAGCAAAGTAGGTGAAATGCTTCAAAGTGTTCTGTCATGTCTTTAGGTCTCTGCTGCCTCATAACTAGGGAGTGCCAGAAAAATTGCTCTTATTCTATTTTCCCTGAGAATGCACTCTGTAGTCAGAAATGAAAACCCAACTTGCATTATAAGTATCCATCATTTTGGAAGAAATCAATGTTTCAAAAAACACTTAAGATCTCATGTACGTCCAAATTATTATCATTAATCAAGTGACATGAAAGGGATTGCTCTGTTTTATAGACTCATTATATTAGGATATTAAAAAAGGCCAGGATGTATCACCTACCTTGAGTTTGGCAATAAGTTTGATAGTGTTGTATGAAGTCTTTCTCATTAAATTTGATTTGGCTTATGTGGTAATATTGTGGTCTCTGATAGGAATGCAAGTAAACGAAGTTAATCATATATCAAAATGAATCATGCTGAAAATCAGAAAGGAGGGAAGTAGTCACTGAGTTCCTGTAGGAACCATTATTTAGTTCTTTTAAAAAGAAATTTGATTTTTTATTCTCCATGAAAAATTTAGCTTTAAAATACATATCTGTTTCAGTTTAAGCTATGAAGTTTGGGGTATTTGCCACATTAATACTGGTGTCAGATATAATTAATATATTATATATTTAATAAAATATATGTTAAATATATTATATATGAAATATAGTTAAAGACTATATTTTCACTTTTTTATATGTAAGGAAGATCAAGGAATATTGAGAAAACTGCCTAGCCCAGGTTCTCTAGAGAATCACTAGTGACCCAAATTACAACTTATATTGTTGCCCAGGCCACTAAAATATACTTTCCAACAGGGTGATAGTACTTTTATAGTTTATAAGTTATACAAAGAATAAAATACAAAATATTTCAGAAACTGTAATCCCTCTTGAAGTCACTAAACTTTTGTATATCTATAGAAAAAACCAACAAATCTCAGTTCTTATCAGACACTTTTATTTACAGCTAAGGAAAAAAGAACACTAGCATCTATTTAGAGTGGGAAAACATGTTTGTATGAAAACAAATATTTCGTCATCAGTCTACTTTCCACGCCATTTGCAATTGAGTGTAAGTCCTTTATATTTTTTTCAACAGGATTAGAATTTTAGTAGTTTCAGAAATAAAAAAGATGGCATTTTAAAATGCCCTCTATATTGGTAATCCTATCCTGAGGACTTTTCATGCTTATCTTGAGCTCTGAAGCTACAGTCTTCAAAGAGACTCTGTTGGAGTGAGACCAGCCAACAGAACAAAGCAGAAAAGGGAAATTCACGTCAGCTGTAACCAGTTTTGTAGAGCAAGGCCTCAGCATCCTTATCTCTGGCATGTTCAGTATGGAATGCATAGTTGTCATTCAGCTACTAGAGAAACATTATTTTACAATGGCAGATAGCCTTATCGAAACAATTAGCTGGTTATCTCCACAGGGAATAGCAGTTGGTTAAGCAAGACTGAAGTGAGAGCTCTTCCCAGTTTTCTTAGAAATGATTTCCCCATGGGTATTTGGCCAACCACTTAGGTTTAGCATGAACATGTGATAGCTAAAGGAATGAGCTAAGATCTACCAATGTTTCAAAGGAGCACCTAGTAGCAGCTGATCTCTAAGTAAAAATCAACAATTTATTTAGGTCTCAAAATTTTTTTCCATAAACATGTTGTTTCTTTAAGTATAACATGCACATTTTGCTTACATTGTTTAGGATGCTTTTTATTGCCCTAAAAATCTGCAATAAGGTGAAAGAAAATATTCAAAAATGGTTTTGTAATACATAGAAGGTAAAATTTCATATTTAGAGCATATAATTCTTAAATATGCATGGTTACTAAAAATTGTGTCTTTAAATGACAACTTGACATTTTTAGGATTGTACTAAAACACCATTGTGTACCATTTATTTTAACACTGACTTTTTTATAGTTAGCTTTATCAACAGTATAACATTTTCATGCATTCTTAAATTTTACACAAGTTTTAATATCCACAAAATGCTTGATTCAGTTCAAATCAACAAATATCCAAGCCTATATGAGAGAAAAATGAAATAAGATTGCCTTTTTATATAATTAGCTAAATTCTTTTTAAGAGTTAAAAGTTAATATGGGGATTCAAAACTTAAACTTCCAACTGTCAATTCGACCATGTGTATATAACTTAGGCCACAGGACTGCCCATTAGTCTTTCTTGTCGAAGGGCAATTAATCTCTTGAACCACTTTTCCTCAGCTTCAGCTTTCTCTATGAATAACTGAAATGAGAAAATAAAATGAAAAATGTTATTATCTATCCATAACTTGTCTTTGACCTAATATGACACAAATCACCTTTATAGAATATATCTGTCAGCACATGATTTGGATACTGTTTAACTCTTGATGGCTTTTTAATTGAAATCTATCTATTTGGAATTAATAATGTTCATGAAGTTTTGAAGTAAAAGGGTTAGCACCAATTCATTAACAATTCTGCACCTTATATTTGTGCAGTTTATTTTCTACAATTTTTTTTTTTTTTTGAGCTGGAGTCTCACTCTGTCGCCCAGACTGGAGTGCAGTGGTCGCTCCCGGCCACTGCAGCCTTGACCTGCTGGGCTCCGGTGATCCTTCTGCCTCAGCCTTCTGAGTAGCCAGAATTACAGGCATGCGCTACCACGCCTGGCTGACTTTTTGATTTATTTTAGAGATGAGGTCTCGCTGCCCAGGCAGGTCTTGAACCCGCGGGTTCAGGCAATCCACTCACCTCAGCCTCCCACAGGCGCAGGATTATAGGCTTAGCCACTGAGACCGGCTTCTACAGTTTTTTTTGAGACACAGTGGAATTACATCTTTTCATAGATCACAGCAAAATCTCATGTTAGTAACATGCTCATTGTCAAAGAACAAACTAGAGCTCAGTCAGAATTAGAACTTTTAGTACCAGATTCTTTTTCTTTTCTTTTCTTTTTTTTTTTAAACTCTTCTCTGCCTATTTTCTTTTTTGTTGAGACGAGGTCTTGCTATGTTGCCTATGCTGGTCTTGGAACTCCTGGGCTCAAGCAATTCCCCCACCTTGGCCTCCCAAAAGTGCTGGGATTACAGGTGTAAGCCTCTGTGTCCGGTCTTATTTTTCTTAACCATAGAAAGAATAATTACTTCTAGAATCAGGCAACACGAGTTGGACCATACCAGATTCAGATAGATGTAACAACTCTAAGGGCTGGGGGCCAGCCACCTATTTTTGGCAAATAGGAATATATGAATCCATTTCCTCCAATGGCCTTGGTGTCAGCACAAAAGGACAACAGTTTGAATTAATTTTGGTTAACTAGGCTTCAGCTGACATTCTTAAGGTTTAAAGATCTTACATTTGGATGGGCCAGAGAATTGTCATCTTGGTACTTGATGGCAGTAGGGATGCTGCTAGGATCTATTTCTTTTTCAATACTGGGAGGATCAGCAATGACTGATGCAGGTCCTGATGTTGAAATTGCAAGTTTCACTTCACTAGGTTCCACCAACTGAAAGACACAGCACATATTAATCTCAGCACAGTGCACAACAAGAAATGTGCTTTAATATTTCTGATTTTGAATAATAATAGTTCAATTAGTGTCCTCGGAGATGATACCCATCTCAAAAAGGCCCTATGTCACTGAATGAGAAACAATTATTCCTAAAACAAACAACCAACACAAAAACATTGGGGAAATGCTTATCATTTTTTATGAACAGCATTATTTATGTGTAAATTTGATTAATTCAATATAAATATATATATTAATAGTACAGACTCATAAGTACCAATTTCTTATATATATATAATAACATAAATTATATATGTGTAAATTTGATCAATCAGAACAAGCTTGTAACATATCTCCAGCATTTAGTTGGCCTCTCCAGGAATAAAATATAAATTCAAAGCTTACCTTTAAAACAAAATAACCTTATTGAGCTACAATACACAAACCACACAATTCACCCATTTAAAAGATATAATTCAATGGCTTTTAGCATATCCAAAGAGTTGTGCAGTTATTACCAGAATCAATTTTAGAACATTTTCATCATCTCCCAAAACCTCATACAGATTAGCAGTCATTCCCCATTTCTTCCAACCTTCTCATCCCTAGGCAACCAATGATCTACTTTCTCTACAAATTTCTTATTCTGGGCATTTCATATAAAAGGAATGATACAGTATGTTGTCCTTTATGACTGATTCTTTCATTTAGCATAATGTTTTTAAGGTTAATCCATGTTGTAGCATCTATCAGTATTTCATTATTCTTATTACTAAATAATGTTCCACTATATGGATCTACCACATTCTGTTTATCTATTTATCAGTTGATAAACTCTAAGGTTATTTTTCAAGGCTACTGGAAACTTTTAAAATATAATATAAAAGTCTGGGAAAAAAGTATGTCCTATCTTTGGCAAAAACTCTGGGGTTTCTTATACCATCATGCAAACTATAGACTCTCAATTCATTCTGCATTTACTGAGTATTCACCACGTGCCATGTATTGTACTAAGTGCTGGGGACATGACTAATAAATAATTGTCCCCGCCTTGAAGGAGCCAGCAGTGTAGTGTAAATACCTTCTTTCTTGAGAAAGAAAGAGGCCAGGGAAGGAACTGATTTGCAGCAAAGCTGTGGGGATAATGTGAAATGGATTAGAGAAACTGAAATTAAAAGGTAAAATTTAAAAAAAAGACATGTGGGAGATTAACTCTACCATGTAGCCTTTTTATATACCTACTGGTTTTATACGTACTGTTTTTCAATTTTTATTTTCTTTTAAGTTATCTACTTCTGAACATTCATTTCTCTGAATGAAGTGTAAACAGATGCTACTGGGAAAAATGACTAGAGAATAAAATATGCATAAATTAGTTACTCCTGTCTTAGATTAACTTGTTTTACAATTGGAGATCCATCTCCTTAACCAGCATTTGTTGAACACTTCTAATTGCTAAGCACTGGGTACACAAAGGAGAACAAAATAGATATGGTCCCTCTCTCAAATGGAGATTACATGTTGCTAATGGAGTTGACAGATTATAAACAAATAAATACCAAAATAATACATAATCACAAATTGTAGTATGTGCTATAAAGCAATAAACAAGGTGCTGACATAGAGAATGATGGAGATCAGGGAGGGAAAAACATCTACTTTAGATTAAGTGGCTAGGGATAGTGTCACTCAGGAGGCGAAATTTGAGACCAGAAGAATTAGAAGGAGCCTGGCATATGAAGAGGAAAAGGAACAGTGCACTGGTCAGAGGGAACAGTTAGTACAGAGATCCTGAGAGAGAAGAGCTTGGTGTGTCTCAAGATCAGAAAGGCAACTCATGCTTATAATATCAACACTCTGGGAAGCTGAAGTAGGAGATCACTTGAGGGTAGGAGTTCGAGATCACCCTGAGCAACACAGTGAGATCCTGTCTGTACAATTTTCTTTATTTTTAATTTTTTAAGATTAGCTATTTATTTATTTATTCAAAAAAATCTTATTGGGCTTATATCCCAAACCCTCCAGTGTTCCAGTGTTCACGAATGGTATAAAAGCTCTGTGTTAACTAACATTAAATTGTCATCTGTTCAAGAAGCAGGTGTCCGTATATATGATCTTCGTCGTACGCCTATCCGTCTCTCCTTCAAGACATCTCACGACCCTTGCGGGGCGGGCCCCTGCAAGGTAGGAGGATTGCTTGAGTCTAGGAGTTCAAAGATGTAGTGAGCTATGATTATACCACTGCACTCTTGCCTGGCCAACAAAGTGAGAAAAAAAAAATGTCAGAGGGCTGGTGTATAGTGAGCAAAAGGGACAGCTGGGCATTGCAGCTCAGAATTTGGGTCACTTTTTCCCTAAGTCAGTCACGCCACCACACTGCTTGGGTATCACCTCCCCACTGCAGCAGAAAAGTATCACCAGGCAGAAAGTCGAGGTATCCCTAGGGTTCACATTTTGTCTCCCTTCTGTCAAGGATCATCAGTCCTGTGCTGCCTGTTGTTCTATATCTGGAAACAATGTCTCATGTATCTAAGTTTTATAGTAATTTATGATGGGAGGGCAAGTTTGATACCAGTTATTCTGTGATGGTCAGTAATGGAAGTCTAATTAATTCCTGAAATTAATTCCCGGTTGTTATGGCTGCTGTGTGGGTCCTGGACTACAGAAATGCAAAAGGAAAAGCAAGAAGGCCAATCAGGGGTCTACTATAGTAGTTAAAGCAGAGATGAAGATATAAATGAGGGTGGTAGCCCTGGAGAGCTGAGAGGAGACAAATTCTGAGCTATTTTGGGGGTGATGATGTCAGGATCCACTTCCTTTTTTTTAGGCATGTATTTTGTTTGATTAAAAATACTCTAATTTTTATTTTTATGCTAATGGAGCTAGTCTGCATCCACAGAATAAATTTATTCTCTTGTGACAAAAGAGCCCTGTAGGCTAGATAATATGGGCATCCGCATGTATGTTTAGAAATTCTTGAAAAATAAAAGAAAGCTGTTTTATAAATTGTTTTCAAATGTGATGCTTGTGAATATCAAATCTAACAATACATGATTTTAATGTTAGTCCTCTTGTTAACTTTTATAGACATTTAAATAAATCTTTATTAAGTTGTTTTGGTAGTTTTCTTTTTACACTTTGGAGCCATTTCCCCCCCACCGAGATCTCAGATATTGGTATATCTCCAACACACTGGTCCTGGAAGGCTCATGACCCTTTGTAAAACAGAGGACACTCAGCAGTAAAGCCCAGTAGTCTGCATAGGGGAAAGTGGGAGGTATGCTAATCCAAGAGGTTGAGGACCTTGATTTCTGGCAGTCTTACTGCTGTACAGAGACAGTATGAGCATGTCATTCTGCACATCTTAGCCATGCTGTGGAGAGGGCTTAGCTAGGAGACTGGCTATCAGTGGTAAACTTCCTTGAAAAGATATGGGTGCTACTATTCTTGTTGCCAAAGATATAGATCCCATCTCTTCAGGTAAAAGGTAATATTCTATCATATAAACCAAGTAATCTCATTCTGTTTATACCTACGTAGTACATTAATGTTTTCTTTTGAGAAGTGCTTTTTATATACATATAAAGTGAAGCTCTCAGGTTAGGATCAGAGCATGGAAGTTACTATTTAATAATGGGTAATTAAAAAATTTATGGAGAGAACCACTAATTGCTTCTTTATTTAAGTGAGGAAAACCAAGCGAAAATTTTACCTTGACTATGAAGCAAAACCTCAACATGGCCACTATCAAACATCTGCTTTTGAGTAGCACTGCCACCTAGTGGTTCAGTGTGAAAAAATTAGTTTTAAAATACACTCCAAAAGAACAAAAGACCTTACTCTTTTAAACAAGGGTGGGTATCTGCCAGATACAACAATGTTAGGGTTGAATAATTGATTCTAAGCTTATTTGGTACAGCAGTTTGAAACAAGCTGCATCTTGGTTGCTGAAGTTAATGATATATCAGAGACTATCAGATTATCTCTCTACTTAGACAAGAGAAATATGATTTCAGAGAGTTAAACTAGTTAAATCAATATGTGTTGCAGGAGACATAGTGTCTAGCATGTCACTGGTAATAGGCACTTTTCTGATAACAGCTCCCTAGCTTAATTAGTAGAATTAACATAGCTAAACAAAGACTGTACCAACTGAAGGGGTGTCTAGTATAGAAAAGTCTTTTTCAGTGATACAAACTTTATACCAAACCGTGCAGAACTGTCCAGGAGAAACAGATGTTGAAACTAGGATCATGGGCAATTAAGTCCTCAAGAGAGTTAATTCTTGTTATGCATCAGGGATAGCCCCTCATATCTCACCACGATCTGGATGAAATGGTCCTCAAGATAATTTACCTCCCTTTGCTAAGTAATCTCCTGATAAATAATTCACCATCTTGGGCATCCTGAATCCTTGCCTTAAATTGCAGACACAGACATTTTAGAATGGAGAAAGGGATATCACTTTCTAAAGTAATAAACTGCCCCTCTTTTATATTTTAGTTGAGTGTGAATTTATTCATTATTAGTCTATCACTGCTCTTCGGATTGTTCTGAAGTGTACTGACTAATAAAAGTCCAGTGTTAGATGCTAAAACTTTAGACTACTGCACATTAACCATGGTAAATGCCATCTCTTTAGGCTTCTAAGCATCTTCTCCTTTGGTACCACTTTCTACCTTTCAATGTGTATTTTCTTGGAGAAAAGGCACTGAATTGAAAATAAGTTTAAAGAGAAATATTAATAATTAGTACCAAATGGCAAAAGGGAATTAGAAGAAAAACCAGTGTATCGACTATGGAGAAATAATCATTTACACAGAAAGAAAATGCCAGTTTATCACGAGAGTCCAATAAAAACCGAGGAGTCAGAGTAAACATCAGAAAAGAAATATTGGGAAAGCAAATTTTAAAATAAATTAGTTATTCTATTAGCATATACTAACGGTCTTATAATATGCAATAGTAAGATGAAATGGGCAACTATATTATAAATGTCTACTTTACAGCTCTATTTTTTAAGGTGCTGTGGTGACAAACTAGTAAAAATTCAAAAGAAATGAACAAATGAACAAAATGACAATGAACTATCCAAGGCTACTAGTCCTGTACCTGGCATGCAGCACATGTCCAATACATGTCTCCTGAATGAATTACTTTAAAAGTGCATGGCAACTGAAAAGACTTTCATCTCACTAATAACAAAAGAAGTGCTAATGGAAACAGGCCAATTTTCATCTCTCAGGTGAGTAAACATGAAAATATGTGATAGGACTTGGTGTTAACCACATTGTGTTAACTTGGTGTTAACCACGTTCTTGCACTTTTGATTGGGTTGTGAATTGGTATAATGCTTTTGGAGATGACTTTGATAACATGTATTAAAATAAACAATGAACCAGGAACAGTGGCTCATGTCTGTAATTCCAGCACTTTGGGAGACTGAGGAGGGAGGATTGCTTGAGCCCAGGAGTTTGAGACCAACTTAGACAACATAATGAGACCTCGCCTCTGCAAAAAATAAAAAAATTAGGCAGGTGTGTTGGTGTACTCCTGTAGTCCCAGCTGTTCGGAAGGCTGAGGTGGGAGTACTGCCTAAGCACAGGAAGTTGAGGTTGCAGCGAGCTGTGATTGTGCTACTGCACTCCAGCCTGGCCGACAGAATGAAATTCTGACTTAAATTAAGTAAAAAGAAGAAATAAACAATGTTAACTTTTAACATATAATTCTATCTTGAAAACTTATTTTAAGAAAGCAATAAACATGTATATAATATCTCGAAACATACAACTACTTAAATATCTAATATCAGAAGAATAACAAATATACATTCAGCAGGTTATTATATAGTCATTAATACATTTATATATGTAGAATATTTTTGAATAAGTTATAACTATAACTATGTCTTTCTTATATGAATGTTATTAAAGAATACATGTATTTCCTAGGATGGCTTTTCCAACAAAAGAAACATAATTCCTAAATGAAGTCCTACCAATGAATGAAAGAATTCATGAAATATTCAACAAAGATGCCAATCAAGAGTTGAGTAAATGATACCTATCTGGGCAAAGAATGGAGATATAAGCGACAATTTGAGTATCTTATAATTAAAGCCCTTCACTAACTTTTTTCTAACAATGTCAATTAAAAAAGTACAAGTAAACATTTGAAAAGAAAACTGCATATGCTCATGTAACATGTATTATTATTAGAGAATCATCATGTTGACTGTTGATATCTTTCTTTGTCTTCTTGGTGAATTTTAAAATAAAAATGACATCAGATACACTTTTATAGTGTATATTGCTTCCTCGGTCTCTCACATGCCTGACACTCTTTCATCCTACTTTATCCATTAGAAAAAGCACTTGCATTTCAGCAAAACCCATTAATAAAGCATCTCTTCAGTTAGAATCCAAAGGTTTATTCATAATCCCTATATGAAAACTTACCTTTTTGACTTCTTTGCTTGATCTGAATGTCTGTTGAACAAAAGAATCACTTTCAATAGCTTCAATTTCTTTTACTCTTTTTACTTGTTCTACCAGGGTGGCTTGGTCTAAAAAAGAGGGTATAATGTCAGTGCATTTTGGTATAAGTTTGCTAATAACACTATACCTAAGCAATGTTCTTTCTTTCTTCCTATGAAGAAATTTTACCACTTGTGAAATTTAAGTAGATGAAAAGACATTATGGTTAAGTTGTAACAAGAAACTCTTTTTTTCTGAGATCCACAAATACAATATTCTTATATATACCTGAGAAGACACTACTAAAATGATCCTGGCTAATCTGGTGGGAGGGTTTTTCTTTTCTTTTTAAGAAAAAATAAAACGTTAACATTTTATTATGGAAATACATATAAAAGGAGTAAGAGCACAGTGAACCCACCTGTACCAATCACTCGGGTTCTGTAATCATTAACTTTCTGTTATTTTTATTTTATCTGTTATCCCTACCTTGATTTTTGGGGGCAAATCTAGAACATTTAAAAGTAAATCCCAGACATCATACCCTATTACCCCTAAATATTTTAGTGGACATCTTCAACAGATAAGAACTTAAAAAACATCAACTTAACTACAGTAAAATGTTCACACCTCAAAATATTATCAATAATTTCTTAATATAATTTGTATATCCATGCTTAATTTTCAATGATTGTCTAAAAAATGTTTTCACAATTGGTTTGTTTGAAACAGGATCCAAACAAGGTCTACACATTGCACTTGGTTTGATAAGTATTTTAAGTTTCTTTTTAGCACTTACAGTCCACTACTCTTCCCTTTCACTGAAGAACTAAATCATTTATTTTGTAAATGTTTCCACATTCTGGATGTGGCTGATTTTATCCTCATGGTATCATTTAGTATGTTCCTCTATCCCTTCATATTTTGTGTAACCCAGTAGCTAAACCTTGAGGCTTAACGACCTTCAGGTTCAATTTCTTCTGGTCAAGAATATGTCACAGGTGGTGCTGTGTAATTCCTATTACATCATATTAGGATGCACTTCACTTCTAGTGAAATTAAGATTCACCAGTGACCCAAGGTGAGTCAGCCTGAATACCCCAGAAAGCTCTCCATTACTCTTTCACTCAATGAATTTAGCACCATTTATGTCTGCTGCTTAGATCCACTAATGGTGATTTGCTCATTATATTATCCTTCCTACATTTATCACCTCTGACTCTCCTATAATGAAGAACATTTCCTCATTGACTATTTGGTGGCTGTGAAGCTTGACCAGGAAAGTTACAATAAATGTTTGATTGTCTTTATTTATCAATTTTAGTCCAAAGGTGACAAAAAATGACCATTATGAATTCATGAGTATTTATATATTTAATGTACTTCAGTCCGTGGTAATCATTTTCCTTTCTTAATGCTTACATTGTTTCACTTTTGGATAGTGACAGTCTCTTCAAGTTGGTTCCCGCATCCTTTAGATATGCTCCCCTAAAATTAAGGCATAATTAGATGTTCCAGGATTATCTTGTATGGTTTCTGTCTCAGACTGGAAATTAGCCAGTTCTCCAAAGAGTCCAGACTCCTTATAGTGGGGAATGATACTTATAGACAACAATATGGGCACTAGGGTAATTTATTGTTACTGGATCGTCACTGATTTTGAACCTTTTTAGTGGGTGAGATAGGAAATAGTTTTTTTTTTTTTTTTGGAGTTGGAGTCTCACTCTGTTGCCCAGACTGGAGTGCAGTGGCATGTTCCTGGCCACCGCAGCCTCCACCTGCTGGGCTCTGGTGATCCTTCTGCCTCAGCCTTCCAAGTAGCTGGAACTACAGGCGCGTGCTACCACACCCGGCTAATTTTTTGATTTATTGTAGAGATGGGGTCTCGCCAAGCTGCCCAGGCGGGTCTCGAACCCGCGGGCTCAGGCAATTCACTTACCTTGGCCTCCCAAAGTGCGGGATTACAGGCTGAGCCACTGAGCCCGGCTGGAAATACATATTTTTTAGAAGAAAAAATTAGGATGAGCTCCTGCTGAAACTAGTAACCAAAGTAAGCATTTTAGGATTTTTAAAGTATTTTGTTTTATATTTGTATATCTTTTCTCTTCTTCTTAAACTCTTAGGCCTTAATGATATGATCAAAGTAACTTGTTTTTCCTAATATGTATTAGTTTCAAAATAATAAGACAAACATTACTATTAACAAGATGTATTTAATTAATGCAATTTAAAGTCTCATTATGGTCTTTGGTTCCAGGGTTTATTCCAGTGATGAATTGTCAAAATACTATGCTGTAAAGTAACAAAATAATTCTTCATGTGATTATGTGATTATTTTGATATACAGTTAGGTCCATGTGTTTCAGTCATTTTTAATTTTTAGGTCTTACCTTGTTATTAATATTTTTTACTTGCAAAAAACTTACATGGTCTAAGATCAGAACTTAAAACAACATCATGCAGAAAGGTCTAGGCATCCTTTTCTATATCATATCCTTAGTTCTCCCTCTAATCCATAGGTAACCATTTTTATTAAGTTTGGGTTTATTCTTCCACTGTTTATTTTTGAATATATAAGCATATATATCCTCTCCTTGCTTACACAAAATTATCATACTCCACACTCCTATATAAATTACTTTTTTCACTTAATACATCTTCACTCTCACTCCATAGTAGTAAGAGAATTCCTCATTTAATTTAACAATTGCATCGGACTCTATTTTTATAGGTTTATGATAGTTCTGTCCACTCAATGCCTTATTGATAGTTGTTTCCAGTATTTTACTTTTACAATTAGTACTTTAATAAATAGCCATGTGCATTTCATATTTTCATATTTTTATATTTTAGCATCTTCACATGTTAGCTGGGCAGGAAAAAAATGTAACATTATGTTCACACCCTTGCTGTTGAAACTTTTGCTCCAAGCTGATGTGAGTGTGTAGTTGAATTAGGATCCATTGTATTGTATACTTAGCTTAAGACCCCTGAAGATTTTGGGATTTAGACTTCATGAATAATTGCTGAATTTACTTAATAATGGTAATAATTAGTTTGACAAGCAGGTGGATTTATCTGCATCAAAGTAGTTTTTACATCCCAGCGGCTCTAACTTGAAAAGGTTAAATGTTGCTAGAGAGATAAATATCAAGAGTATCAAAAGAGTTTTGGTTTCATAAGTATAATAAAAATTAATATTGTCTGACAAACTCTTTGTTTCAACTTTTGGCCAATTACAATTTATAATTATCTAGTCTTGTGTGAGCCCTCATTTATTTATGGGAAAGACAGCTCTTCTGAAGATGTGTCCATGGCAGCTGTAGCCAGTCTTTTTTTCCTGTGAGAAATCACGCATGGAATGCTTGGACAACGCAGCCGCCACAGCCAATACGCCCATCTTTGGAAGAACACATTTTCCCACATAAAAACAAGCACTGACAGTGCAATGGAAGAGCAAATAGTTACACATGCTCTTGAACAAAAGCTCCTCTGGATTTTAATTACATAATGTAGTAATTGAGCATATGAAATGAGAGAAGATTCTCTGTCCAGCTAATTTATTAATATTAACACATCCCATACCAGCAACGTTTCAAATTAATTAAATGTAAATAGTATCATCATAGCGGAGAAAAGGCATAATAGGAACCGTTCCATGTGATCCAACTTTAATGCCAATATGAAAACAACATTTGTTTGTATAGGTCTTTATTAGTTTCACTAGGATTAGTTCACAATCATTAATCCCCAACCAACAGACATTATTTCTGATTTCAGCATAATGTCTCATCTGTTTCAACTGTTGGACCCCTTGGATTTTTTTCTTTAACATATTCTCCATTTGGATTTGCAAAGCACATCATTAGTATTAAATGTCAGGGGTGAGCTCACAAACAGGACTTGATGTCTAGCTTGTAGTGTTTGTAGCTTTAAATTTGGACATATAACCAGCTCCTAATACAAATAAAAGTGTTATCAGAGAAGCTTGCCAAAGGGCCAGTGTGCTTAACAAAACAGCATTGGAGAAATTATAAAGAAAAGAAGGAGAAAGATTAGAGGAAAACAGAACATTATCTTTGTGCTTCTTTAAAGATCACTTCAGAACTAACAAAGTGACAAGGCAGATAAGAGAAAGCCAGTTTACCTTAGTTACAATATAAAAATAAACCAACATAGCTTTTATCTTTCAATGTGGGAGCAATCTTACTGGTTGTAAAATAGCGATATTTAAATTAAAATTTGAAAGATTCATAGGAGATTTATATTTTCAGGCTTATAATAGCTCAGCTATATGCTGTCTGAAAACAGATATAAAACTGTTTTAAATTGCTCCTTACTTAAAATTCTAATATCAACATCCACAAATGCAAGTCTTGAGTATAACCCTGTCATTCTGAGAAGCAGAATGAAACATATCAATACTATATATTAAATTCAGTTTCTTAAGTTATTCATGCCAATTCATCATTTAAAAATTGTGTACCAATATTAAGATTGGGGAAAATGTGAATTAAAACCGGTTATTGTTTATATGCACTGAATGCATGCCTAGCATACAGTGTATCTTGTATTTGTTTAAATTTACCATGAGGTAAAATTAAAGGCAAGTAACAAAGGTACTGAAGGAATCAAAATCATAGAATGTTTTAAAACATCAACATGGTGGCTGGGCTCGGTGGCTCAGCCTGTGATCCCACACTTTGGAAGGCTGAGACAAGTGGATAGCCTGAGCCCACAGGTTCAAGACCCACTCAGGCAAAAATTAGCCGGGCGTGGTAGTATGCGTCTGTAGTTCCAGCTATTGGAAGGCTGAGGCAGAAGGATCACCAGAGCCCAGCAGGTCGAGGATGTGGTGGTTGGGAGTGTGCCACTATACTCCAGTCTAGGTGACAGAGTGAGAACTCAAACAAAACAAAACAAAACAAAAACATTAACATGGAAAACATGAAAGAAATATGTCTATTAGCACTGAATGTTTTTTTATAAATACTTTATTGGTAAATAAAATGACTTCTACCATGTTGTTTGTCAGATATCAGTAGAGAGGATGTGTATTTCATAGTAAAATAAAAAATAATGGAATCAG